AAACTAAAGCTTTTACAATATTTCGCGGCGTCCCGGGGTGACGAGGCGCACAGTTAGGAAATCACTGCCATAGTGTCTGGTGTGCCCACTCATAAATGTTGTGGTACTGCTTGATTTGATTAGGTTCAATTCTGAACTACAACATTTGTGGGTTGACACACAATAAACTAGGACATAGAAAGTGATAGACTTGGATAGACGCGATGGAGACTAGAGCAAGTTGGCTAACAATAAACGTGTTGGATCATAGACGTGGTCCATGAAGCACGTGAGAGCTAAGGGGATCACAAAGCCAGCGTAAGTGTGAAGAGTTCTCATGATAGCTGTACAAAAGTGCGCATCATACCACATTTAAATAAGCAAGTAAAATTGTGATAGGGAAAGTGTGATACGAGGATGTAGGGTTGGTGATTAGCCCAAGGCTGAAGGAGAGAAACCACGATTGTTTAGTAGACAATTGAGCAAAGGATCGCCTTCACTTATCTCTTTGACAAATTGTAGTGTGATGCTAAGGCTGGCAAGACTCACTGACAATGCCGGCGTAACGTCTGGCAATGTACCACGTCCAACATCCGACTCTGGATATTACGATGCATACAATGGACTCCGGACTAGGTGCGTTCCTCTAAGTTTTCCTACCAATATTTCTAAGTTGCGAAAACAAGATCAAACAACTTTTATACTACGAAAGGAGACTGCAATCACACAAAGGGCCACACCATCTTGGTCTTCATACCATCGATAATTTATACAGTTAGGAAATAGGGCATTAAGGAGAAGGAAGAAAAGCAATGCTGACCAGAAATAGTCAGAAGCATATGAGAGGATGGTTCATAATTTCAAAGCATATAACATAATCGAAAGGCGAAACAGTATAATTACCAGGACAGATTTAATGTTCAATCATTGCGTCGCTTAAATGACAAAGTATAAAAGTAAATAAACAAAATAATACAAAGCTGTTGATTAAACTAGATTTGGCGAAGCTATAGTCTTTCGAATGAGGGGGGGATTACAGGGCGGTAGGGGTCCAGAATTCCGGAGAGAAGTTCTCTCATATCGTCAAAATTCCGCTCTATGTATGCACACAAGAAACTACACAAGCAGATTAAATAGATTCTCCTATTAGGGGTGCTGAGGCCCAGGCGCGATCGAAACTGCAGCCTAATCAAGCTTTCATGAGAACATCTTTTGGTAGACAATGCTAAGTGAAAATCAATGACATTGTGAGAACATTCGTATTATTATGGAAAAATGCAACCAATATTCCCTTATTTCCTGGGGTGAATACATCTCTTAAATATTGATATAATTGTGATGCAACTGTAAAAACTGCATAAAAAAAGTTATAAAGTAAGGACTTGCTACAAGGTAAGTGTATACATGAAAAAATAAAGTATCGTTGAATATCCGGACTCACGAGGTTCCAGGAACGATCAAACGCCACCAATCGACCGGTGAGGAGAGCGCGAATCTCGCGCATACCTCGTGTTATCACCCAAACACGCTCGCACCGCTGCATAGCCAACCATAGCCGAGCCATCGGTCCGGTGGTATAGGCAGCCAGGTTGTCAGACAGTCGGCGATTCCGAGTACCATAACGATCTATAGTTTGGGCCGCTTTTGCAAATCCTAAGGGCAAAACGTGTGGTTACGTGAAGTTGCAAAGAAAGAAAGCTTACGGGTAGGCATAAAAGAATACGAAAGCGCAAGTGGCTGGATAAACAGACATGAAACCTAAAGATATATAAAAGTTATAGAATACGAACGAGTGGGTGCGATAAAGGGCCGGATTTAAGGCGGCTCATCCAACTCATCTGAGATTGATTTGAGATGATTATAAGTTTATTCTGAAGTGTAGTTATAACTTGACCTTAGTAAGCGCTACAACTAGAGACCAAATCAATTTTTTGCAGAGCGAAATATACTGTGCCGCAGACCATGTTAGTTGTTAGTCGTATTAAAAGTCTTAAATGGATTGAATATGAAAATGCATCGGTGATTCCAGCCATGTGTAAATAAAAAGGATTATATTCATACGAGTATATATTATTTTCCTTTAGAAGTAGGGTTTCGAGACTACCAGTAAATAAGATATATGAGATCTATCTACACCCTTAAAACCACTCAAATAACTATCACAAACCCACTACTTTCCTTGCCCCCACCACCACTCTTTGATTATTAACCTATACATGACCGAGGCTCACAGCATACTATGTTGCCTGGTTGCCTCAGTACAAGAGGGAGGGGTGGGGTCTACACACACGCATATATATATATATATATATATATAATGTATATGCAAAAACCGAGGGTTTTGGACTTTCTTGTTTTAAGGTGATGAAAGACTGCAGTTGATGCTTCCATTGAATTTCACATAGCCTTGCTTTTCCAAAAGGTGTTCCTATTCCAGCTGGAGTTGACTGCACTTTTGGCCTCGTATAGGTCTTCTTAACACCTTAGCTGGAATCGAACCATGGCAATGCAGCGTGTAATCACAACCCGTTAAACACTATGCCACATTGTCACGAGTGCCCTTAGTTTACAGGGCAGAATTTAATTTTAAAGAAGGTCAGGCATTTTTCCATATCTCATTCTTGGGTAAGATTGTCGATGAAGCAAAATCATATTTATTATAACAATCTACTACACTACTTATTTTTCGTTTATGGGTATTAGTCACTCGTCAGCCTTAACGAAATAGAGTGAATACATCTCATATAATTGGTTTACTGGTAGTCTCGAAACCCTAGTTATGAACGAAAAATGATTAATGCAGTCAGTTGTTATAGCAAATCATTGACA